TTGATCCCATCACTCAATGATCCAGTAATCGGGGAATCAGCGCAGACCGCTAGGGCTGCCTCGCCAACGAAGACTGCTTGCATACAGAAGCCCATATCGCTCACAATCTCCCCTTTAGCAACGAATGAGACGTCGAGGTCATCCAGAGAAAGATCCTCCGCAGAGAGCACGCGTACCCTGGAGCACGAACATGCGGAAAGTAGATAGATCTTTTCCCCGCACTCGCAGCAAGTTGCGAACGCGTTGACCTCCCTCAGCCACGACACTCGTCCTGTTACCCAAAAGTTATCAGGCAATGCATGCGGGACCATCGAAGGAGGAAGTCGAGGCCATCGTAGTTCAATGAAGCCCGTTGGTAGAAGGACGGAGAACACGGGGCGAAAAGGTCCGATCGTGTGCCTTTCTGGCACATAATCGTTCACAAGCACAATCACGTCTGAGATGTCCACGAGTGAGGGCACCGGAAGTTCCCTTCTCAACTGAGTTCTAGAGATCCACATCCTCAGCAGTTGGCCCTTAGGTGCCATATCCTGGATGGCCACGTCCCACCCCTCAGCGTTAACGTTAGCGAGGAGAACATCCGGGGCGCGCGACAGATTCCTATGCGATATCTCACAAAGTACCACTGCCTTCAAAGTGAACGGCGTAGAGGGTGACAAACGAGAGACTTCTCCAACACTATGGAGGACTGGATGGAGTGAACTAGCATGAGACAGTGCCAATTTTTCCTCCTTGTCCGAAAGCTTACCGATAACAGACAGAGTGGGGCGGAGGTCGCCCTTGCTGTGGCCCAAAGTGCCATCAGGGCATTGAAAATAACATACCCCTTTGGCACAGCGCACGACTACTCCCCTTTTATCAGTGAGAGCAGCAGGCGGATCACTGTTCGCTACAACCATCGGACCCCCGACATGAACCCCCAGCGAGTTGCGACAATGTAAACCACTGGCTAAGTTGTAGACAGCCACAGAGTCCGCGCGAGGTGCACTAGCCACACTGAACGGCTCTCCTGGCATCATATTCCGCGCACACTCGAAAATCTGTCGATGCCAGCAAGAGGGTAACTCGCGAAAAACAATGGAGGGACCACGGCATACAGGACGAACCGTCTCAGGTCGGGTTAGGATAGAAGAATACCCCAACACGAGAGCCGGATTCGTACACGGCTCGCTATGTGCAATTCTAGTGTCGACCTGTGGGTCAAGAGAACGGCACAACGCTCTGACTGCATGCAACGGGCATCCCTCATGCACTGAGGACGGGAGCTTAGTCACAGGCTTATAGACAGGCTCAAGCTCGACCCGCCGGTCCTGAACGTCGTCAACCGACTGAACGATTATTGTCGAGTGGATATTCGCCATGAGGATTCTCGATATCGGCATTGCCTTGCTGGGAACCTCCGTAAGACCATAGCATTCGATAACCATTCGAGAGCATAAGACCTCACTTTGACAACGGCACCATTGCTGTAGACATACCAAAACCAACTTACCGTCTGAACAAGCCCCCAGTATTGCAGCACCAGCCAGCACGTAAGCAATTTTGATTCGCAACCCAGGATGGCCTTCGCTAAGGCGACGAATCGAGACTGCTGAATCTGCTAGACGGATTTCACATCGTCGGCCGCTGACTGGTGCCGAGCCTCTCTTCAGTACTCCAACGATCTCCACTGACGAGCCAGGGCAGAGGCAACTACGGTTGATGATATTATTTGCTCCTTTGAAAACAACCGGAACTTCATCATCAGCAAAATGAAGTACCCACACAACAGAACTCGCGCCACCACGGGGTCGGAGAATACAGCTCAGTGCGAGAACCGTACCAGAGATGCTAGGTTGGGCACCTGCTGGGGCGTCAGTGGGCATCATGATAGACTCGGCATCCACAAAGGTAACATCCTGGACCCTATTGAGGACTGGCAACCACCAGCCCGACTGTAACGACTGCTTAGAGAGCCCGACAAGCTGGATGTGCTGCTCGCCGGCTTTGGGCCTCATCGAGTCAGGATCTATCGTGATGTCCACCACCGCAACAGACCCAGTCATAGTCGACAACAATAGTGGGTGGAAATTCACAAGCAAATCAACTTGAATCGATGCGGGTATCAATAGCAACACTAAATGCCCTAATTCTTCTGAGAGTAACAGAATATCCCTCGAACTAATGAATCATAGTCAATTCACATCGCACTCGAAGTGCCAATGGTAAACTCGCAGTGGGTGATCGACAACTCCAAAGTACAGTTAACTTCTACCTAATAGGTAGTACCCATTCAATGTTACTTACACAACACGGAACTACATGCACTGAGCGACTGCATAATGGTTATCATGGGCATGCATACCATTGCTCTTCCTCCCTAGTGCTTACCACGGCGATCTCTTAACCGAGAACTGAACATTAGATATCTCGTTTCGTGAGACCACCAAGACTCACCGAGCTTCTCTGGCCCAGCGTAGCAGCATTTCTTTCGACGTTTGTGTGATATTTGCCGTCAGCCAGTCAGGATAAGGATCGAGCTCTGCTATCTGTACATGGGATGCCGACAATGGAGGTGTAACTCGATGACTCACCTCGTCGTTCTGAGCGATAACATCAGCCGGATGGCCCTTCCACTGTGTTGCAGGTGGCAGTCCGAGCTGCACAGAGGCAACGCCGCCCTACCGAAATCCGAAGAAATGGGACACCAGCCGGACGTGAGCGGGCAGCTGACCTTCAATCTCTGCCGGGCTACTGTGTACCAACTTTCCATAGTCGCCCAGGCGAGCATGGACACTCCCTGCGGCAATTTGAGGCGAACTTCATCAACGGCTTCCTCCTCTTCACGTCGAGCCCTGCTCTCGTCATCCTCTGTGAGTCTCTTGCCGATAGTAATCTACGTGATGACTGTGACATACGAGAAGTCCCAATCGTAGAGTCTCCAATATCATACTAACAATTTGAACCACCTCTAAGGTAGCTGTGTAAACACCGTCACTCAGCTGAGGTCACCGCATAGGGCTAAGCAACCGTGCCTCACCAGTGCATCGCCGAGGACTTCATAATCGTTCTCTCCACCATCTTCAGCTGAGGGAAATTCTCCGTTTTTGTTACCTGACACGCAACTACAGCTGCCCATGGTCGTGATTCATGGTGAACCAGGATAGGATCGATCCCACCTAGCAGCCCCTTCTGCGTGCGACCAGCGAGAAGGTCTTCATCAGGCATGCGATACCTGCACATCCGGAAAAATAAAATGAAGTCGAAGACTAGAGATATCATGAGGCCCTGTAGCGGATGCTCACTCGAAAGGGCTCTCCAAACTGAGCAACTTCTGGTACATCTCACTCAGCTGCCCTCGATATCTGAAGACCCAAACATAGACACCAAATGGCATCACCCTGAGAACACAGTCTCACCTCTGGCGACTGTGCCTCGGTGTGAATATGAGGCCAACGTTGGACAGAATCCATTCTTTATGACGTTGGAAAAAGTTTTCCCTGCAAAAAAGTGATCTCCCGAAACGGCTAAACACTCCACCTGAATTCTTTCACACGAGTCTGCATTTCTTTCTGCTCGATACCATGCTTGATGCTGTCCGCGAAGGCCTTGGCCGAAGCGTTATCCCTGGGCTTCCACAATACCTAACGCGAAAATCCCGCATAGGAGACCATAGCAACTCACGTGGAATGTCATCCACCTAATGGTACTGTTTAGTATCCTATTCGCGATGTACTGTTGCGCTACGTAGTAAATGAATGCCGGATCCTGAAAGCTCAACTCAGTAACGATCACGGGATCCAGCGAGCCAGGGGAAGTTTCAATGATGTTTCAGTAAGTAGTCCTCCGCCTCTATGGTGCAACCATCAGAAAACGCGTTATCACTTCAAAAGGATTAGCCTGTTTCCTCAGTAATGTGGTGATGCCGAGCAAGGTCATGATCATACCCCACGTATAATAAGATATGATGAAGTAAAATTGCGGCGAGAAGCAGAGATGGTTCACTCCTTGCACCTGACACAAGTCAGTAGCTTGTCATTTATCTGGACTTGCAAACAGTCAGATAACAAAAAAATATAAAAATGTGGGAGACCGAACTGCGAGGATTTTCTGCAATCAACATCGGTGGTACTATTCTTCCACGTGAGTTCAAGCGCAATAAATCTCGAGTGTTGAGTTCCTACATAGCGTTGAGGGTTCCGGATGCCTCGAGATGCTCACCTGCTCTCCGATGCTCTGGTCGAACCTAGGATCATCAAAGAGCCACCTTGTCAATCTATTGCGCCATCTCCATTTCGCATAGAGCATATAGTCGTAGATCTTCACCTGAGATATCACAATGACGCTGGTGCATCTAATAAGTGCACATTACGCCATGAGCTAGCTCAGTAGCATGGTTCATAAGAATGTCCATCATAACTTGGAAAGGGACGATTACAACACCAAATAACATGTAGTATCTAAGCCGTACGAACAGCAACCTCACTGGCCGCCCTGAGCTCGAAATTCAGAGGGTTTGCTAGACCCATGTCTAGGCTCACATTAGATCTCCATTCCGGATATCGTATTGCTGCGGCACCTCTGTTGCTGTAGGGAAAACGATAACGAAAGCTATGACCATGGGAGCTAAGATAGTACCTAGAAGAGAACTGCGTATTGTTCCTCACGATGCTAATGACATCATTAGAAACGAAGTGAAGGTACTAACTGTCTTCGCACAAAAGACACTAGAGGACATAAAACTCCAATAGCAAAGTATATGACAGCTGTGGGGTTCGAACCCACGCCCTTTCGGACTGGCGCCTTAAGCCAGCGCCTTAGACCACTCGGCCAAACTGTCGACGAGATTACCGCTGGATAACCTTATAATTGAGGTGGAATCCGTCGAATACACCTCATATGCATCACCAGTGATACTTCACATACACTGCATAGCAAATCAAGGATATTGTTGATTAAATTAGTCGTTTGAGTCACATCTACTAGAGCACGTGCTTCATACCGATCTTACTCATGGCTGTGCTACCGCCTCTGACATGCTCTTCTATGGCCTCTTCTATAGAGCTCGGATGCTCCTGCCCGTCATCTTCTTTCTCATCGAGGGAAACGACTTGATCACTAGTGGTCGGTTGAGCTGACGCAAACCGTCTTTATAGAGAAAAAATATATTCCCTCACCCCCGGAGACCCTCCTTGCTCGACTAGAGAACTTCAATCCCGGGACTTCTCGGCCGATATCATCAATCTTATCAACATTCGTTTGGTTGCGTATCGGACCTCCAATAGCAAGGAACGTGCTCCAGAGGAAAGAACGCGTCCCTGCAAATACGACGAGGTTTCTACACATACACTGCGACCAAACCGTGGTAAGACGTATCGGAATTCTGCGGTACAACGAAAGAGAGAGCACGCCGAGACTAAAGAAGCAGTGAGAATATCTTCTTTATGTCTCAATGAATGGAGGAGCTCATTTGAACTCACTTAGCCACTCCATAGCCCTAGTCGCATAATAATCAATCCATTGAAATACCGATCCGAATACCAAACGATCAGCGATCTTAAGTAAGAGCTCCACAAAGAAAGACTCAGCAAAGTCTTGGAAGTTATCAGCTCCCATAGTGGCGATGAACAGAACCTAATGAGACAGCCGCAATAGAAGAACACAAATAGGCTAACATAATAGCGAACGACCTGATGTAAACTTACGACTTCACACGCGGCCAGGAGAGGAATCAGTAGGAGCGTTTCGCGGACAGCTCGGGCAAAGACTGCTTCCGCGGCCATCATCATGAACGTAAAGCCGACGATAAAGTTCACGGTATACGTACCAAAGAAATCCGAGTATCTGAAGCATGCTACAAATGCGAGAAAACTCACAGCAGCAATACGGCCTGGGGTAAACCTACGAGAACTCCATCATGACCATGAGGGCCAGGACCAACAGGACCGAGCACCACAACAAGTGGAACCGCTTCCACTTTACCGGTAGACCCGTTATCTTTGACACCTTCGAGCGAGACGCCACCATAGGGATCCCCTGCGGGCCACGACTCAAACCGGAGAACACAGCATCACACCTCCTGGTGCAGGTCCTCAGTTTTCCTCTGTACCAGGAATGTCACTTCAACATCGCGGAGTTTCGGCACCATCAACTTCGAACCAGAATGTAAAATCATCAACCCACCAAGGAGGAAAGACTCACCTATCAACAAACACTCTATACGAATGAAATATAATATATTCGATATGTTGGACTCAAATGTATTAGATTACAAAATATTATTATGGATAGTGGTAATAATTATAAGTAATGAAATATTATCATTTATAAGTTTCTGCTGAATATATGATCATAATTATATAAATTATTATCATGTAAGTATATTAATATTAAATTCTTAAATTATAGTATATAATAATGTTATATTATTAAGTGATATATTGTTGTTATGCTTAATTGAGCTGCATTCTTCACACTTCTACACTATCTAGATTCAGCAAAGAGTCCTCAAGC